ACTGGTGTACAAAAGTTGCACACTCACTAAATTCAAGGTTTAAAGCTTGAAATTTGATCTTAATGCACACAAGTTTAACTTTTAAAATACAAATTGCTAGGCAGAGGTGGGACAGTTCATTACAATGTAACATCATCACACATTTCATTTATTAGTTTTAATGTATAAATAATGCAAAAGAAATTATTTTGAAAATGAGTCAAGCCACATTAAAAGCTTTCTTATTAAACAAATTATTTTGTCCTGGTGTTAAAATTCAGCCTTTTGTGTACACCCTAGCATTACAGCTTTGTATTTTTTGTACAAATGTGAATTCACACATTGGCACTTCTTCTGGTTCTGTTCTCTCTTTTCAGTTATAGCTGCAATAAAAAACTAACAACTTGAAACTTTCTCAGTTGCTCAGTCCTGTCAATCATGACACAAACAACAGAATACACAAAGTTGAAAATCATTTTGCTTCCTTCTAAATCTAAAAGCATCAATGCAATTGCATGCCAACTTAAAGAGGAAAAGGTGAGGATTACCTGTCAAACCATAGCAAACCAGTTAGTTGGTAAGTTACCCAGGCACAAAGTAATCAGTCACAGGACCCCTGTCAGTCCAACTGCCTGTTTAAATGTCTCAGATAACATTACACAGGGCTAAAAATTAACTCCAGTGCTTGGTGGCCACTCATGCCAGTTTCCTTGAATTTCTTAATGGTCCATCCCAAAATGAAGTGGCCCTTGATTTCCTCTAGTTTACAATGAAAAACTTGAATAAACGCCCCATAGCTTTTAATGGAGTGTTAACTAAAAGGAAAGAAAAAGCTTGTGAAATCACTGTTAAAACGGCTCAAATTTCCACTTCAGAACTAAAAAATTCACTAAAATAGATGATCTTAGAGTCCAGGCATAGAAACAAAGAGAAAGGTAGTCCAATTAAACAACATATTGAGCTTTATTTTTAACTTTATACTTCACATAATTTACATTGCAACTTTTCAAAATTCTGTAGCATAGTTGCACATCAGGCATTCAAACCTTAACTTTTGGTGGCCCTGGTCAGTTTTAACTTGCCACTGGTGACTGTGTGACCACCAGTTTTTAGCCTTGCATTACAGTCATTACCTCTAATAAACATTTAACCAGTCTGTGTACCAGTCAAAAACTTTGTTTGTCCCTACAGGTTGGTCAGTCATTTCCTCAACTGACAGTTAAGTTGGTTTGTTTCTCAATTTAAGACATTGTTGGCTGGCCTGTCCATGAGGGGACGCAAGCAGCCTCAACTGTAAGTACTTTTTAGAAATGCTAGGATATTATCCTAGCATTCCTAACATTCCAAACTGCGTGAGAGTGTCAAAATCCATCTGTGTGTCACAGAATTGTCACTAAACCTAAAGTATGCCAGATGAATTAATGCCTGATATCAAAATGTCATCAGCTAATGCTTTTGTTTCACACACAATCAATACTGCCTTTATTCCTCAGCTGGTTCCTTTGTGTCACATTGTAGATTATAAAGAGAAATATATCCACAAGATAAAAGCTGCGGATAAAAACATTTTATTGAAGTTTATAGAATGTCATAATACAGGTTAGAGCAGGGAAAAAGATGAGTAGCACTTATCTTGACATATTATCGCACCATCAACAATCGCAAGAGATTATCTCTGCATGAGGAGGTACTTACAGTTGAGGCCACTTGCGTCCCCTCATGGTTGGTCAATTAGCCAAGTAGCTGATGAGTCAGTCAGTTGGCGATAGCTGTCAGAAACTCAGTCACACAGAGTATTTGTCAGTTTAATGACCTGTAAAATCAATACCACCATTCAGTCTAACAGGTAATCAAATTGTTAACATCTTTTAGCTACAAACACTCTATCCGACAGCCATCAATTCTGAGAGAAATACATTATTCTAGCAAAACTGTTAGGGTCAGTTTGTCACTCAGATGAGCACTGATTATGTTTTTCAAGTTGGAGTCCTTGTAAATCTTAATTAACACTCTCTTTATATTTCTTTTCCTCAAATTTCTTTTCCTTCATCCACTGTCATTGCTTTTATTTCAAACCCAAGAGGGAAAGGTAAAAAGAAAATTTCATTAATAACAAATATGCTCAATTATGCATCAGGACATTCCATAATTTTTTTGTGAGTTATGTGAAAAGCTTCTGCAGGGGTGATGTTCAAAGTTTCTTAGAGGGTGGTGCTTATCTAAAAATCCTCATATTCATAAATATATGTAACACAATGAACTGCGCAAAGTACTGGTGCATTAATATTGAACAACAAGTTGTATATTCCTGATCAAACCTCAATGTTCAGTACCTCCACTATTCACTTCCAAATCTCTTTGTCGATTTTTGGAATGATATGCTTATTCAAAACAATTTTAATATTTCCATTTTAACTTGAGGAATACAGTAAACTTTCAAGGGTCCTTTAGGAAAATCTTTCAACAGTATAAAACAATAAAAGTATACAACACTGTAAAGCTAAAATAATGTAAAAGCCAACTAATTACTTATTTCAAAGATTTGGTTTAATGGTAAGCAAGCAGAAGCTCTCAGTAAAAGAAAAATTGACAAAGTTTAATAACTTAAATAACTTGCCTTAATATTCACATGCATTAGCAAATAAACTGCACAGTACCAATCAGGAGTTGATGGACTGCAAAAGGGTAGGGCTTTTACTATCACTGTTGGGTGCTGAGGAAATCTATCAGTACTTTGAACTCAGAGCCACCAAACTTGTAAAAGCAATGATCAAGTTCTATTCCTATATGTTTTTATGATATACATGTATCTTCAATGAGTAGTATTAATTTATGTAAATGTGCTGCAGGTTTTCCAGATTTCCTTGCAGATGAGCTCCTCCCAGATTTGTTTAAAAAAAAAAAATTGGGGGTAAAATGGTGCATGTATATTACACGGGTTTCTACCAAAAATACAAACCAGACAAGTTTGTAACCTGAACCAAAAAACATACTTTGTGTGGTTATCTCAGATAGTCTCTCTGACCAAATTGTTTTTTTTCTGCTGAAAAAATGAATTACTCCTTTCTCTAAAAAAAATCCAAGATGACAATGGGGTAACACCTAAGTTGTCAAGTTGTCTTTCCTTCAATATTAAGAGTTACACCGCAATAAAATTTGCAGCATACACTGAATCTATCTGGACTACGTACCTTGCTGCTGTGCAGAATTATTTTGTGTAACAGTCTGTAACACATTTTAATATTCCTTTACCATTTGGAGAAGGATCTACAGTATTTGAACCTATTCAAAGTCCACTCTGATAAAAGATGACTTTGTGGCTTGTGAAGATAATTTCCAAGGTCAAGCAAGAGGATGATTTTTCTGTTGGTTTTCGATTTTTTTTTTTGAAGATTGAATTCACCAATAATGCCAGAGTGTTACAGAAGAAGACTGGTGTCTAAAGTTGCCAGTTACAAAGGGTAAGCTTTAGTTCATACGTTTCACTATATTCGTATGATTATAGTTTCAAATCTTCCTATGCTTATTACCAGAAAATTAGATTTCATACTAGACTGGGCAATACATGCGCCAAACTTTAAACCCCGCAGGCAGATTATTAAAGACTCCACTCGCAAAGGTTCAAACACAAGCCGTTTGGACAACAAAATGATGTCCTCTACTCAACATAGAAAAAACTTCCCTTTTGAAAGCAAATACACATAAATAACGAGTTTCAATATCATACAACCACCAAATTGTATGATACTGAATAAAATAAAGCGTGATGATAACTTGAATCACGTTGTAAGAGTGATTTTAAACTGTAATTTACCTGCAACCTGACGATGCTGAGCTACGAGCCATTTGTATCTAATATGAATGCCATTCTGGCTACTTGTGAGTGAGCAAAACAGCTCAGCCGATGTTTACCACGAATCAAAGTAGGACTTGGTAAAAGTGTAAATAAACAAACAGTCAAAGCTGCCGCGCACACGTGAAAGATGGCAATAGAAACTACGATCGCAAAGATCCGTGGGTAAACACTACCCACTAAAAACCTTTTCGGTGGTTGGGTGAGAAGCTACCGAGAATCTGAGAAAAAAATTATTTTGAATGAGTTATCCCTTTGTTACTATGACTGGTATGCAATTTTTCCCAATTAAATTATATTGGCGAATTGGATGTTAGGAGAGCGGAGGAGAGGGAAAAACGAGAGAATGGTCGAAAGAAGGAATAGTGTCGCGCAAAATATGGGAATAGAGGAAAGAAATAACTATGGAACGAGGCAACTAAAAGCAGGAAGCGGGAAAAACGTGCTGTGGTAGACTAGAGGGCACACAGAAGATGAGATGCAGGAACACAAGGAAACGGATACAAAGGGAGCACAGAAGAAAAGATGAACTAAAGAACAGTGCAATCGAGGAACACATGAACAGAAGAATAGAGGAACATAGGAACATAGAAAATTAGGAACATTGGAACAAAGGAACAAAAGAGCGGAGGAAAAAGGGAAAAAAAGAGAAAGAGAAGAACGGAGGAACGGAAAAACAGAGGAAAGGGGGAAAGGCGAAGCGTGAGGGTACAAGTCAGATTTCTAACAAAGCTTCAAAACTCGTCTAACTTAAAAATTTTGATAAAAACATGGCGAAATAGAGTACACCACAGTCTCTAAATTCGCACACTACATAAAGGTTAACATGTACAATCTTGGCCACGGGGAGCAGCGAGAGATTATTAGAACCGATGAATCATTTGTCAGATCCATGAACTGTATCCAAGGAAAGCCCTTTTAAATCGCGAAAAACGTCCAGCGAACCGTAAATTTTTTTTATGCGATTCAACATTCTGAAAGGGTTTTAATTTCTAACTCTGGCCTTGACGCTTCAACCAATAATCTAGTGCCCAGGCTTAACGCTTAAACTCCGGCGTGATGTCAAGAAGTGACGGCACAAACATGTTACCAAGCAACTGGTCATAAACAAATCGAAACTTTGTTTCGCATCTAAAGCTTCGTTCTTGCTGAAGCAAAGAGAAAGAGAATGGATTTTACATGTTCATCGAATGAGTCGAATGAAAATAAGAATTGCAAAATGAACAAAACCACTTTAGGCGACAAGGAGTCCGTGAAGAAATCCTGTGCCGCGAAAATATTTGATGAAGGAATCAATATTACTAATCGTTCCGCTGAGAATTATCACGAGCCTCTGGAGGCCTCACATGGAGCGCGGATCATGGCTAATGAGGTGGGCGTTCCCCGTTAGTTAAGCTTTTTCTTCCCTAAAATCACAATTTTGCACAACAGTTTTATGTAATGGGAGAAGCACGAAAAAAAAACTTTTGGTTTTTCGCGAACGCGCGAATGGACTTCATTAAATACATTTGCCGTAGAAATAAGTCAAAATTAGTTCAAATTGAATTGAAAATCGGTTATCTCTAAAATTAGCTCAGTTTAGAAAAATTGAACGCAAATGGAAATTTTTTGCATCAAAGGTTTTCAGGTAAATGAGTTTGAAAAAATATCTTCATGAAGAGACTGAAAAGCGCGAGGAGCTAAAATTCTTAGATTATGACGCCACTCCTTAACATTCCAACATCTTTCGGCCGGAAGTTAATAATGTCCTGCATCCCAAATCTTCTTGTTTACTTTTAATTTCGGTAATTCCAAAATAATTGTTTTGACATATTTTCTTCCAGTCTGCGAGAGAAAAGGAACAACTGGAACAGAAGATCACCTGCCTTGAAACAGAGATTAACGGTTGGTTTATGTAA